GCTCTTAAAGTGCAAGTCCAAGTTTCTGTTTCCATTACAAAAGCAACCAAGCTGTAATGTATTCCGGAATACACGTGATTAGCTGTCACTCAACTAGTTCAAAATGTAGTCCATGTCAACAGCCAAACAATCTAAACCATCTTCCTGGTCTGGACTAAATCCAAAAAGCTCCAGAAATATTCCCAGTGTTTTTTGACACAAGGCAAATGGCTGAAAATGAAAGAAAGAGGAAGAATGGCAAAGGACAGATCATAATATAGTATTAGTCAGTCATTCCTCAACTGCAGCATCGTGCAAAGCTGTGCATCCTCACATTCTTGAAAAAGGGAAGAGAATTGAAGGCATCATCCTGACGAAAGTGTTATATTCTGTGCGTCTGTTGGAGGGAGGGGGGATGTATTCTGGACATGAGCGTCTAATGAAAGTCGATTATTTTTCCTCTTCCAGAGAAATTACTTTGCCTGCAAGAAACAGTTTGACATCAAAAACCTAAACTCTACTTACACACAGGTGAGTGTTCACTTATCAGGTTGAATTTTGAAAACACATTTCTTAAAAAGACAAAGTTCCTGTTTGTGTGCCTTTCATTTTAACCAACAGAGCCATGTGTTTGTTTGCAGATGAATAGTAAAGGTCCTTATAAAGCCATGGGGGAGCTGGATATACTGTTCAACTACATTGAGTCCTATCTGGCTTCTAAACGGCACAGAAATGGAGTAGCCACTGTTTGAAGAACTGCTGACCCTAAACTTACTGTGAGCTTGACAGCCATTGACCCTTGCCCATTTATTGAATGTAATATTGTATTTACAGAGATGCAGATTTTCTTTTCTTTTTTTAGACTTCTTCTTTTGTCCTGAGGACAAGTTTCTGTTTTAAGACCATATTGCGTCATACATTATATGAAGTTACGAACAATAATGTTATAAACTGTATATTTATTTTTGTATTTATTATGACTGAGATTGTTTTGCATTGCTGTAGAATAAATGACTTGTTGACAATGTATTACTCTTTTGATTCTTTCTTTAAAAGATAATTCAGCTGCTAATGTGCCATTTATGAGGACTGGGTAAATAGCAGAGCACTGAAAACATCACATCCTGCTGTTCTGCCGTCTATATGTGGGGAACCACTAAAATATGTAAACTCAACAGGCTGATGCACTAACCTCAAACGTGACCCATATACGTCACTTACCAGCAGCAGCCCTGCTGTGTCTTTACTTACCGTAACTGTAACTAGCCGGCCTTACTCTCAAGCCTCACCCTCATAGTATATGCACCGGTGCACACTCACATACACAAGTATGCAAAAGCAATCTCACTCACTCACACTTAGTCTAAAACAGAAGTAACACAGGGTTAAAAAGAGCAGCCCTGCATTAACAGTGTTTAGCTTTTATATGTCAGCTTCTTCACTGGGACAGAGCCAGAGGGGGTATTTTTAGGGTTTCATCTGCTGTACCACAGCGCATTCAGCCTGAGCGATAACATGCTTTCTGTGTGCCATAAATAAAACCAGCCTTAATAACATTTTAATGTATGTACGTGATACTCTAATCTCAAAATCACAAGACTCCTGACTTGACTCAGGCCTCTAAACTGAAACTACTCTAAGACATGTTATCAGCCAGTGGCTTAGTCAACGTGGAATGATCTAAATAGTATCATTCTATCAATGACAGTACTTATGCATGCAAAGCTATCATTCATAACAACTGTCCGATAGGGCATGACTGTTTTAATTTTACCAGTGTTAATATCCGTTTCTTTAAGGCTTTTAATGTGCTGGTTAAGATCAGGTATGTTATGACTGGATGTGTCTTAACAGAGAGCAACGGTTTCAAGGCAAGGAGAGAAACAATTAAAGGGTTTTGATACAAAAAGCTGAATCACTGTTTGGAATGTGCATGAATAAAAGACAAAATTGTTACTTTTATTATCTAAAATATGAATCTACAATGGCATCCTACTTTTCTGTCAAACGTCAAGATAACAGCACAACATGAAAGTCTAGGGTTCAAAGTCTACTCAGTTACTGTTAGGCCTACTTTAACAAACTAAATGCTCAGCAAAGCACTGTCAAGGACTTTAATTACATGGAAGTAGGAACAAAATCTTCGTATTAATGTTTTTTAAAAAGCAAAGCTCTCCCCTCTATTCATAATATTGTCTTTGTGCCTCCCTCGACTCAATACCTTTCAATACTTAATATCTCAAAATAGCATACTTGGGGTAAACAAAATAAAGACACAATCGCTAGTTTGCTGCATTCACACACAAGCCCACATACACTTGACCTCCAATTTTACCCGTTGACTGTGACTGTCAAAGGGTCAGGATTTATTTGGAACCAGACAAAACAAAGCAAAGATCTGCTGGTAAGAACCTCCTTCAATCAGATATTTGAAAGATGTTAGTACAGAAATCATAGAGCCTGTCCAAGTGCATAGTGGCAGTTCAACTCTCTACTCTGATTCCCTCCAATCATTTTCATACAGTCCCTTAGTATGATGATGTTGACATTTATCTTTAAACAGTTTGATGTCATCCCACTACATGGGATGACATCAAACTGTTGTTTATTTTCAACAGTTGTGGCCACATTTAGAGAAGTGTATTTGAGAAAAAGGTGAAATAAAAGCGAGATCTTATGAAAAGAAAAGCAGTGATACAATTGTGAATATTATTAGAGACATCCGTTCTGATTCATTATTTAAATTCAGTGTTTAGGTGATTTTTGTGATCACAACGAATGAGTCAAGATGTTATTTCCAAAAACAGAGACTTTAAAGATAGCATATATTCTGCTGACGCTGCTTAAGAGCAAAGTGACACACTGTTTCTATTCCGACTCCAGTCTCTTAGTGTTTAAAATTAATCTATAATAATAGAAAATGAGTGCATTGTGTCGATCATGCCCTGATGATTGGTAATGGTGCAAGATGTTTCATTTCCTGCACACCCATATGAACTTCATGACTGCTCTTCCTTTTCGTCTTTCCTGTTTTTTTAACTGAAAAAGGAGGGACCATTATAGGTTATGTTTTCAAATTGGCAGATATGATATAGGTGCCAGTGGAAAGCCTCTACGCCACTACTGTGAGTTAGTAAGCCTAACTTCTCAATGAAACCTTTCTTAGAAAACATTGCATTTTTCTCCTAAAACGGGTTTTTAAAAGTATCAGCAAAAGACTACTGGAATAAATCAAAGCAACCTCAGTAACCACAGAGCTTCTCTTGACAGTAAAACAATCTCATTCCCAGCACATGTGAAAACTGCTGTTGAACATGTAAAAACGGATGAAACTGCTTTCTTATTTGATCATATCTGAAAATCTTTCAAAGCTCCTCTTTGACCTCTAGATTTCTTGCTGAGAGGTAAGTGACATCTCACTTTGGCTACTTGTTGTCTGGGGCAGGGCAACCTACTCCGTCTTGTCTAAGAGGATGTGTTTGTGTGTGAGAATCAGCATGCCACTTCAAAGAAGTGTCTCATTACCTCGGCAGAGAAATCTCCACCCATCCTATTCCCCACAACTTTAAAAAGATGTACACAGTAAGTACGTATAGGCACATTTTTGTTTCCAACCTATGACAATATATTCTTATTTTTGAATATAGTAAAATTGTATCCGATTATCCTTGATAGAAATCCTGTTAAGGAGTTTAACTGTTTACCGATTACTTGAGAAAGTACACACAGTATGTCCTTTTTATTTTCCTGAGATGTACCACTGTATAGTATTTATTTTAAATACACACTATAAAAGACTGACTAAGTTATATAAAATGTCCTCCTCCATGTTCCAGGGTGGGTATGTGTCCTGAAGTTTGTAGCAGGTGGGTTAAAAGGGTAAAACCTCCAGAGGCCTACATTCATGAGGAACTCCCCTGAAGCCCCTTTACCCCCTTTCTTACTTACCTGAGAGCACGAGAGATGACTGTAGGTTTCGCCACAGTCAAAACTGGAAGCGGCATGCCGTCTGCTGCCTTGCACCTGAGGAGAAATAACCCTGTGCAATAGACAGAAGCTGCTCTAAACACCCCAGTGTTGGCAAATGTCTGGGTTGACTCAATGCCACCAGACTGTTTTGCTACGCAAATGTGTATATTCCCGGAGTCACTCATGCTAGCACGAGTTGAGTTTGTGCACTCCGTGTCAAGGCCACAAATCCCAAGCCTACCCGTCAACCTGAGTCATAGCCGGAGATGTGATTGAGAAGAAAATGTATCTTATTGTTGAGACAAAGGTCAAAGATGCAGAAAATATTTAAACTTGGTAGATTCATTAATTACAATTAATTCACCAACTGTACCAATAACTCAGGACAGGCAAGACACATGTCACAAGTAGACAAGTTGGCTATCTCTAGCAGGTGTTTGCATAGTAGAGAATCAAACATTTATTATAAAACAAGTTGTTGAGATTATGACTTCTTGGAAGAAAACAATTAAGGAGACAAATATAACAACAATTCTTAAAATTATACTAGAGGTGTTTCTGCTTTCTACTTTCGGGAACAATTATGCATAACATTATTTAGACTAAATAGACCACATTTCTAACCGAACCTCCCGCCCTAGTGTCAGAGATCTTATTTATTTTATGTGAATTTGATCAAGAAATGTCACAAGTTAAATGTAATAGAGAACATATGTAAGCATTATAATTCTTAAATGGCTTGAATCTTACCTTTAGCAACGTAAAACAAGCTTTTGAAATATAGCTAGTTCTGTCACATGTGTTAGCCTGGCACATGGAAATATTGGACATGTGGTTATGGGAACACAAAATCACATGACCTGGCCCATGACCCACCAGACTGTTCAGTTTGTGTCACTTAGGCTGTCCATGAGCTCCACTGATTGGCTCCTGGCAGTGGCACGAGTGGGGTTGTGCGTCTCTGATAACCACATGTTGTATACGCAATTTCGTCCCTCTTTGAGCGCTGTGCCACACACAAGACACAAAGTTTTTTCCGAAATAACGCTAGAATGGGCCACTTTGAGTCTGGCAGCGACCGTTTCCAGCACTGGAATGACAACATAAGACTAGTGGACACTGTCAGAGATATAATCCTGCACACGGCAGCTGGGTCCTACTTGCCGGCCCCCGAAGCTCCGCACCCGGCACAACGTGGCGACATTGGGGCAGACTTCTCGCTGTTAGGCTCTGCGTCTCGTCCACCACCTGATGGGTTGTGGTACTCCACAGACTCCCATCGTGCAATTGGAGCAGACTTCTCGCCGTTTGGCTCTGCGTCTCGTCCACCACCTGTATCTCATTTGAAAACCCAGACTTCACCATTGTCACCTGCGCGCATGTCTTGCAGTTTCTGCGTGCACAACGGCGAGTCCAAGTTGGTGTGCAAATCCCACTGGCTGAAGAACCAGGTCGGAGATGTTATGTGTCCCTACCTGCGGCAGTACGTGTGTCCCCTGTGCGGAGCCACGGGGGCCAAAGCCCACACCAAGCGCTTCTGCCCGATGGTGGACAGAGTGTACGACTGCGTGTACACGAAGTACACTTAGACACAAGTCATAAAATAAAGGCTAACGCTGTATAAGTAACTTGAACTCATGTCACCTTGGGTTTTTATGGGTTCATTTTCCAAATGTATGGTCATCCATCATTTTTTTACGTACTACGGTACAATGTGCTTTCGAGGCTTTCGATTGTTTTCCTTTTTTAAGAATGTCCTTAAGAATACCTTTTTCATACAGACAAAGCATTTCAAAATGCAATAAAATGAGATGACGCTGCAGTTTTGTGTTTTATGTGTTTTTTTAATCCAAAGCTGAAGCAGACAAAAGTATAGCAGGTGGAGCCGGACAGACTTGATGACAAGAAAAGAAAAAAAACGACAAACATTTCTGTGCTTCCACTACAAAACAGGTGTTTGGGATGAAAAGAAAAACAAAACATTGTCACAAACATTCAATGAACATTTTTACAGTGAGAGATTTGTATGTGCGATGTGACAGGTAATGTGGATGTGATTTAACTAAGTGAAGTGGACTAAACTGACAACATTAACACAATCATTTCCCATGATCCCAAAGTGAGCTGGAAGCTTCCTGTTGCGTTAACAAGAACATTGAAGAGAAACCAACCATCACACTCGAGTGTGACGACAGCTTGCTGGTGGTATTGTTAGAGATTCTGCCCTGGGACGAGAAGCAGCTCCTAAGTACGTTCTACTTCCTTTCAATCTCCCAGGAAGGTTTGACCAGACTTCGTCATTGAGCCTCCTGAAAGTTAAGCTGGCAAAAGTAAAAAGTGATTTCTTAAAGACCTTTCCCAGTCTGTCTGAACCATGTATTATTCCCTAGAAGAATCGCTACTACTTACATAAACACACACAAACGCTCCTTATTGTTTCTCTCTCCAACACTTCTGCTAACAGAAATCCACACTAAGGAAAAGGTCCAAGCAGTACTTCAAGCTGACCGACATATCTGCATAATATTAACCTGATATATCATCTGCAATGTTATAAATTGGGAAGCATAACATTGGTAAAAGCCTGAACCAAATGGTAGGTAGGGGTTAAAAGTAATTTGCTGCTTTAGATAGTAAGGCCTATGCTAATATGTCCATAAAATCCATGAAAAAATACAGTATTGGTTTGCTCCTTCTCTCCTATGAGCTACATGTGGCAGAAAAGTCGGGCCGGTTTCTGTCCTAAACGTTGCATCCTTCTCTGCCTTATAAACTATGTACCTGAAAAACAAGCGTAGATTAAGGTAGGAGAGCGGGGCCACGAGTGAGGTGCTCTGTCAGAATGGCACACGACCGTTGTGAGTGCATAGGCCTCATGACATTCACAAAGACAAACTGAACCTGACGGACACTCCCACTTCAAGTCCCAGAAATAAGTGACTATTTCAAGCTAATCTGAACTGTCAGGGACAGAGTCCTTACATTCCACTTGTCAGTTCAAAATACATCTGCTAACGTTGCATTTACGATGTAAAAGAAACCTTCCCTTGCTTTTCTTTTTGGGATTTAGCCATTGGATTTAACATTCACAGGTTTGGGGCAAGAGCTGAACGAGGGCTGCTGGGTAAAAGAGAACTACTGCTAATGCTAAGGCTTCATGTCATATCCCAACATTCAAGCCCCTCCGAGTACACAACCTGATATTTGGGAAAGGAGAGGCGAGAGAACTCACCGATTCCCTCTCCTCTCCTTTTCTATATTTCATAATCTCTTTACTGGTGTCAAAATACAGATAAACATCCTCTCTGCCAGAGCAGAGTGGTGGGTTTTGTTAAAATGGTAGAGTAATAAAAACAAACACTCCTACAAAACATTAGAATTTGCCATGAAAAAATAAAACACTGAGATAATCCATGCACTCACATGTCGACAAATTATTGCTTCCTTTTTACAACCTGTGTCTGTATGTGCATGCATGCGTGCATCTTTCAGTGGGCAGCAGACTGGGGGTCCTGCATGGGGTTACTGGCTTTATTTCTCCGTTTCGTTAGCAGTGGGTTTTTCGAGTCCTCAATGGTCTTGATCTTGATTTGCTCGTAGTCCACCCTCATTGTTGCCAAGGCACTGGTCATTTCCTCCTAAAAAATGGATGGAAAGAAGCGCATCAGACCTCTTCCTTTGGACAACTAGAGACTGTGGTTTTTGTATAGACATCATAACACTTCACTTTTTTTCAGCTAGCTGCAGAATCACTACATGAATGATGATACACATTTCAATTAGGAAAAAGGGGAAATGCTAAGGACAAAGGATAAACCACAACCAGCTGCATCCTGTCAAGACTAACACTAACAAACAGAACATACATTAGTAATACATTGATATTTGAAATGTTTATTAAAGGTATTTTCTGATATATAGCTACAATACAAGAAGCAATGTTGATTCAATGACAAACATCTTACCTTGACATCCTCCCAAGCGTCCTTCTCTTCCTTTAGGACCCGGCTGGTGTGAAGTGGGGTTTGGGGAACTTCCATCGACTGCTTTAGGAAGACACACAGAAACACACCACCATTTTACTTCACTGGATGGATGTCTGCCGGAGCGTTCGAGTTCAATAATGGCAGGAATGTGAGCTGGAAAATGCACAACACAAGTATTTGCTTACATTGATCCACGGGTGATTCATGAACTCTGTGATGGTCATCCTTTGCGTTGGCTCAGTCTTGAGGAGGGTCCTAATCAGCTGTTTAGCTGCAAACACAATCATTGTTTGACATCATTCAAAAAAGAAAATTCATATCCAAGGATTAAGTAACTGTTTTAGTGAACTTCAGTAACACAGTGCATACAAGGTGACGGATCAACAAACAGGTAGAGAGACATAATATCTCTATACATGACAAATAAACATGATACAGTCTTCAGGTTGGGGTCATAGTATCTATGACCCTTATGTAGGATGTTTGAAAGTGTGGGAGATTCTAGAGGCAAGGCTGCAGCACATTATGTTCTGATTGAGGGTGTGTCATCATTCTTTCATGATAACCCCATGCTTTTTTCTGCTAAAAATGGTGTAATCTTGAACAGTACTGAGAAATCCTACAGTGAAGAAGGCAAAAGCACACACGGAGAGTAATGATGATGACTGTGCTTGAGAAAAGTACTACAGTGCAACACGGCAAGTATCCGCAAGTATACCCATACACCCCTCTGTTGGAGGGAGATTTAGGGTCAGTATTATGCCAAATCATCACGTTAGCTTCTCTTTTCTTCATAAAAGCTTTCCATTAGTCAGAAAATAAGACTTCACTTTCAATTGCAGTGAATGTGACCGGTGGTTGTTCATAGGTGCGTGTGAAACATCTGCGTCAGTTTCCATTTCTTGATCAGAAAGTTGACTTCAAAAGCCAGCTGCTTTGGCACATTTAGGTGAAGGCTTAAATAAAGACTTCCTTCAGGAGCTTATGAAATAATACAATTGTAAAATGAATTGGATGTTATATCAGACTTCTATACTATATATGACAGTGTTTCAATGTATACAGCAGGAGCTCCTCTGTTAATAATCAAAATAAAATGTTCTTTGTTGTTATTTCCAGTTTTATGAAAAAGGCCAAGTCAACAGTTTATCACATTTAGTGTACGTATGCATGTGGACTGACCTTCCTCTGACACATCAGACCATTCAGGGTTGGGAAACTCATACTGGCCCATCCTGATCCTCTTCTTCATCCCAGGGGAGATGGCTAGACCATGGTTAGAATAAAAAGGAGGGTATCCACACAAGCTGTTGATAATGCAAATATTAGTTAAAGGTTCCCTATTATAATGTTTTTCATCAATATATTAAAGGTCTCAGATATATGCAAAACATGTCTCCGAAGTGTTTGGCTCAAAATACCAAACAGATCATTGCAGCATCCCATAATCCCCTCTGTTTCAGCCCTGTTTCAAAAGTGCTGATTCTCTGTCTGTTACTTTAGATGAAAATAAGGATCCCCTCCCCACGCCCCTCTGAGAGATATTTGGTTAAAAAGAACACAATGGTGCTCTAGGAGGAGATTCAGGTGATAAGGATGGGGGGGGGAGGGTGTTACCTTGGTTGGTGATTGGCTAATGGTTACCAAGCCAAACAATCGTTATGACATCATAAAGTCGCCAAAATCTGATCAGCTCATTTTCAGACAGGTTTTTATATAAATGGATCAGGACAAAAAGTGAGCGGATCTTTTTTCCTGAAACGCTCAGAATCTCTTTAGACAGAGGGGACACATGTTTATGTATAAAAGACGTGAAAAAGTGGATTTTGCATAATAGGTGACCTTTAAAGCAACAAGTAAATGATAGTCTTATGTCATGAAAGGGTTCAGACTTACAGGATATACATAATCACACCCAACGACCACATGTCACAGGACTTGTCATATTTCTCTGGGCCCAGAACTTCTGGAGCTGCAGAAAGGAAGACATGAATAAAGGGTAAAGCAAGTGTAAATGTTTCCCGGATCATTGGAACTCTTTGTTAATAAGCAACAAGTGGAGCAAGAATGAGAGTTCACACAGAAGCAGATGCTTACCAACATAGTAGGGTGTGTAGCAGGGAGTAGCTAAAGAGTTGTGTGAAGTGGTTTCCTTGGCAAAGCCAAAATCTGTGAGTTTGAGCAGGGCATTGGGCCTCTTGGTAGAATACAGCAGATTCTCTGGCTGCAGGGAGGAAACAGGAAGCAGGCCAGAAGAAAAACAAGTTATTTAGTAGCTATAGCTTTGGAAATCAGTCTACGCCCCGAGCCGGTTTTTCAGGCCTCAGACTCGAAAATGACATTCCCAGAACAAATGACTATATCTTCACTTTTAAAAAGGGGTAAATTAATAATCTTGTTTTCAAAGCAATGATAAACCTGTGAGTTGGATGTAGAAAAGTCCTAATCAATATCTCGTTTTTTTTATTTTAAAAGGAAATTCAGATTGAACATAGTAAAAAAAAACGTAAATTATAGTGTCCGTCCAAAAAGAAAAAATTACTTATAGTGAAAACCAGCGTTGAATGATGGGATAGACTAAAAGCTTTAGGAATCCAAACTATAACATACCCTGTAAAAAACACTTCTGGGATCATTTGGGTGCATTTTCCATATCTCTGACACCTCTTTTTAACCGTTAGAGCCAATAGAATCGAGGGGAAGTTCCTAAAATCCATCTGAACATTACCCATTGGTGAATGAGTGATGCACAGCCAGAATGCCCTGGAACCGGAAGCTGTCATACACTCTAGTAGCTATCGTAGCAGCTAATATGAAATCTCCCTTATTGACATAAAAATGGAATGATGCATTATCAGTAATCATTTCAAAGTGACACAGACCCATTGGATTAACCTTCAGCAGCATTTTTGATCGTTTTAATGCCATTGAACACAACTTTGATCAGAAAACCACAAATTTAAGACGTTTTTAGACGTTTTGGCTCCGTAAAGCTAATTTTGTTGTTTGTGTCGTTTCGCAGCGAGTTCTGATCGCTCAGTGATGATACTTATATTTCTGCAACCTGTGGAATCTCAGCTTGCTAATCAATATCTTGTTTGTGCAGATACGATAAGTAATAAGGGTATTTTAACGTGAGTTCTGTGCTAAGTGTGTTAGCATTTTTTCGCTCAGGGCTAATTCAGAGCCTTTGTTATGACCCTTATGTTAATATTGTCTGATAGCTGAGTTTCTTCCCGTTAAGTGGATATGACACATTCATAGTTTATTAAATGTTAAGAAGCCCTCAGACGCTGTTTCTTGCAAGATGTTGTGTAAGGAAGTCTGAAGGAAGGGGCAGGTTTTTTTCCTCTGCGTACTTTCAAATTCTAGCGCACTCGAGCTGGTTTTTCCATTCTTACCTACCCTACCTTTAACTTAACATTACAACAACACACTTAACTCTGTGGTTGCTGGAATTGGTCATAAAAAAGCATGGATATTCTTTATTAAGCAACATGATATTACAAAGTTATAACAAACCTTGACATCTCTGTGGGCAATGTTGATTGCATGCAGGAATTGGATGGCCTCTCCTATGCTCTTCATGATGTCAGAAGCCTCTAAAATGAAGAGATAAACAGCCATTTTAACACAGAGATAACAAGTGACTCGAGTGATGGAATACAAAGGGGTTGCGTTATGTCTGGGTTGAAAAAAAACTACTTTATATTTAGCAGGTGTCCGAAGGGGTCTCTTTTATGCCTCTGGGTGTTATGTAGTCATGTCATAAGACACAGCAGAATATTAATAAACGTTTGATCGTTTTAAGTCCACATATGCTGACTTCTTACCTCTCTCTGTGAAGGCCTGGTCTCCTCTGTCCTGGATTCGACTGAAAAGCTCACCACCATCCATGCTGCAAAAAACAAAATCAGGGTCTTTCTAAATAAGTTCATTCACTTCCTATGTACTCATTACCAGCTTCAACCTCGGTTTTATTTCATTTTCTTATTTAAATATACAAATGGTCATTTTAGGGCTGAAATGTTATTGATCAACATGCACGCATTTGCACTGAATCGTGCCTGGACTACATGGGAGGTCATCATATGTTGGTGGAGCAGCATTATAGAGTAGTGAAGTAAAAACAGGGCAGAAAAAGGCTCTAGGGTTAAGAGCATATTGCAACATGTGCAAACCGAAACCATTGCACAATAAAAAAAATGTAGGAGAAATAATAGCACGTCATGATGAATGCTTTCTTCTCATAGAGCACTGGCTGAATGAAACGTAGCCCACTCTGCCAGCGGTGCAGTTATTGTCATTCACCCTCCGACTGGTTTGCAGGTAGAGGTGGTCTGTGGTTGACCAACGCAAGAGATCTTAAACCAACTGAATGACTGCTCACACCAGACCAGCTCAGCATTCTGCACACTATTCAAAACTCTGCACAGCATCATTAGAATCAAGAAGACACCTATTTAAATCGTCAAAATGACTGTATATGAAGTCTTGAGTTAAGGCAGGTTTTGTGAGTTCAAAGTGACCGTGACTTTGACCACTGCATTCTGAATCTGTTCAGCAATGATACCAAGTGCTGAACAGAGAGTTATGGTTTCTAAACTTGCATGACATGTGCTGTGTGTCTTGATTAAGCAGATTTCAAGGTAGTTACTTTTTTTTAATTCCACAAAACCGTTATAATGAAGTTATAATGTTGTTTAATTAATAAAGCCATATTTGTATAGAATACTACAGACAACAGTATGGCTCCCTTATGTAATACCAGGATAATTGCTATTCCCTGATCCACTTGAAGATCACGCACAATTGAATACAATAGAGGTGTTTAGGAGAAACGTACAAGACTAAGAATGAAAGAAAACGTTACTGGCGTTGTCAAATACCAGACTAATGGTTGTTAACCCTGAATTCAATAGGCAAGAGACCGAGTGTGAGAGAATCCAACTCAAAGCATTCAATGATAAGTTTCATTTAATCTTTTTGCTCAGTTTGACTGTGCGAGTTTCAGGTTGCACAGTCGCGTGTGTGTGTGTGTGTGTGTGTGTGTGTGTGTGTGTGTGTGTGTGTGTGTCTCTACATGTGCGGAACCACATAAACGGATTCTCAAGGTATACTTGTGTTAAAGGAGAGAACGGCATCCAAAGACTAAAGCGCTGTGGGACAGCCCTGCAAAACCACAACACGCTTTTAACTTCCCAAAATCAATCACATTTGCCATACTAATAGTATGTCAGGTTGCAATGTGAGAACTGGCGCAGTGGTTTGACATTAGTCATGTGGTCAAAGGCAGAGAAACTTCGAGTCTCCTGACTACACCCTGTGTTTCTGAACATGTCTGGTGGTGAAGTGTGAATTCTCAGCAGAATAGATACTTATATCAATGCGTTCTTAAGAGCGCACATCTTGACACCATCACAGCAGAAACCAGTAACACCCTAAAGTTTCAGTCTACATAATGTCGAGTGTCGTGTGCCGTGTGAGGACACTGCTTCAGTAAGACTGATGAAATTTGCTAATAAGATATCCTAACGGTTTAGAAAAAGCCCCAATACTCAGCTATTTTTGAGATCGATATCATATTACATACGTACTTTGCATTTCGTAGGTTCTCCCCTCCCCCATATTCTGATCTAGTAAGGTCGTGTGTTAGCTATTTAGTCTGCTGGTGGACAACAGAAGCATCTGGTAGTACTGGGATGAAGCCATCACTGAAGAGATCTGGACACCAATGGATAAGTCTTATTTGCTAAAGATGACATTATCTACCTAGGGAAACTAGTAAAATGACCTGAAAGTATTACGTGGTTAGCCTCATTCGAAAAGATCTGAGTGCTGAAGAAAATGTGTTTCAAGGTTTCTTTTCCAATCTGCTAAAGCACTGGTCTATCTATTACCACAGTAAAAGGAGATAATACCTTCCACCAATTGCCTAAAAAGAGTTGTGTACCATCAGGCAACCAATAACATCTTCAGCCACGGTTTAATTGTACAGTATGGATACATTCAAAACATCCTTCTTAGGTGCAATAGACAATTCTCTTAGTCTTTTCATATGTCCTTATCACTTCTCTCCGAGGTGCGCTTGAGCAAGGCACCTAACCTGGAAACTGCTCCCTGGCGCCGGATAACTGGCAGCCTCTCTGCTCTGCCACCTCTCTTATCGGCATGTGGTTGCATTGGTGCATGTATATCCTCCCTGTGTGTGTAATGTTTGTAAACACAACAGAGTCAAGAAAGAAATGTCCCTTTGAGGGATTCATAAAGTATTGCATCTTCTTCCCTTGAGACATTTTCCAGGTACAGGAAAAGACATGAGACTTATTTGTTTTTTCACTATTGTAGCAGAGCCCTGACAAAAGTCCCTCCTGGGGACATTTTGGACCCGTGAAAGAAAATGGCAATGTCACAGAAGTTGCACATGGCTTTCTGCAGTCCTCCACAAAGAGAAGAGTTTTCAATGACATGGACTAGAGTGAAAAGAAATTAGAGGCTCAAAATGAGGAATTCCAGCAACCACAGAGTTAAGTGTGTTGTAATGTTAAGTTAAAGGTAGGGTAGGTAAGAATGGAGAAACCAACTCGAGTGCGCTAGAATTTGAAAGTACGCAGAGGAAAAAAGCCCGCCCCTTCTTTCAGACTTCCTTACAGAGCCCCTCCTTCAACACACGCGAACGTGCACATGACCAATGGGGGCACGAGATAAGTTTGTGCACAGATGGACGGCTGACAGGCAGGTAGGCCATCCAGTTATTTGAGCCAGGACGGCTCAGATGATTGGTCGTGCTTTTTACAGCGCCACGGCTTCCACAGATAACGTTTTTTTATGTATTTATTGTCAAAGTATTTAACGTATTCATTGCTATCGGGATGATTAGAGCACTCCATGGAATATAACAAAAAGTGTTTCTGAAGTGAATTACCTACCCTATATAAATAAACATTTATTGATTGATTGACCTAGCCTACCTTTAACACATCTAACCTGTGGTGGTCTCAACTAAATCTGAATATGATACATGTCATTAATTGCAGCACTGCACGATTGGGTTATGCAAACTATCATTAAAGGCTGAAGAGAACCATTATAGTTAAAAGACAAAAAACAACTACATGCAACATCCCATATCAATACTTTGACTTCCAATGCCTGTCTGTGGCTCTCAGCCCCAATCCAAATGTGGTACTTGAGTGTGCTCTTGAGCACTGCACATAGTTATAGTAACGAAGGACCATCCCTGAAATATCAAACTAATATCAAACTCAACATAGTGTCATTGGGACCCGTTTCACAACATGGAAGAATACTTAGATATCAGAATATAGGTGACCAGAACCAGGGCCGGCCCGTAGCACTGGCGTTATAGATGTTCTAGGGCGCCAGATCTGGGGAGGCGCTGCGCTGGTAGAAAAACATTTTTGACCGTTGGTGCTCATCCTAATTTTCAGCCTTGATGTAACAACATTCATAATTAAGTAAATGTAACACCCTTTTTTGACCCCGGTTACACTTTTCATTTGCCCTGTACGATGGGCGCACTAAGTGATGAAAATGGGGGATGTTGGCTTATCTGGCGCCCGCAGCTCACAGCCAAAGTGCGAGTGAGCTTGGGAGCGAATGAGGGAGAGAGGGAGGGTGCACCGGTACCGGCGCTGTTGTTATTAGAATCTGGTGCTGCCTGCTCTAACGGATATAAGAAGAAGATGTTTCTACAATAGTGTGGAGGGAGAGTCCTCTTCAGTCAGACTGAGAGGCTGATAACTACAGCTCAGTGATGTAAAGGACTCTGAGTGTTTAGATCAGGGGTCGGCAACCTTTTTGATATGAAGTGCCATTTAAAAAAATAATTGTTATCAGCGTGCCAACGATCGAGAATTATCAACGGGGGGGGTGGGGTTGAGCTCGGGAAGCGAGTGTGTGGGACCTGTCAGCGCGAACTTACATGATGCCACCAATTAACAGAAAGCACATTTAAATAAGTTGGTGAGAGGAACGTGTGTGATGTGTTCTGGAATGGTGAAACGAGAAGCAGAAAAACCAGTAGGTCTGTGATGTATTTTGTTGAAACAGGTAAGGAACAGCTAAATTAAATGCAACGGCCTCCCAAAGAGTGCTTCACCCTCCGTCTCCAGTCATTTAGAGCTAAAGCTGGGTTATTGAAGACCTGAAGCCTTGTTGCTTCTTGCCCTCCTCGACTACCGGTCTGGTGAGCCGACAGGAAAGTTCAACACACAGCGATGGCAGGTTCCGCCCCTTTGTAGCATATATTTCGATCTCTCCGGCGCGCGCGCGCGCGCGCGCGCCCGCGGCGCGCCCCGGGGCGGAGCAGATCGCCACTGGGCTTTCAACTTAAATACACAGCACCGCAAAAACTGCGGGCATTTGTACAGACTCCCTTATGGGTACTGCAGATTTAGTGAAGTGCATTCCTCCGTGGTGAAACGCGATCGACAGCGTTATTCCTAGTGTGCCACTGGTCGTACGGGTGCCACATGCCCAGATGCTGGCCACGCGGTGCCAGGTGTTGACCGGATCCCCTGGGTTTAGATAGTTCCGACTTTAGTCTTAATTATCTCAGTGGGGTCTCAAACGGGGTTTGGTCGACAATTTATGGTAAACAAATATTTCCAGAATGCAGCTCCTTTATAATTATTGGGGATAAAACAGGTTTGAAGAAAGTCAGTTTCAATGTATACTAGGTAGGACAGTAGAACCAAAAAGTATTGGTTTTAACTGGAGCGAGATTAAAAAAAAAGCGCACGAATAAATAAATGTTAATAGGCTGCAAATCCACACCCCGCTATGGAATGAACAACAAAAGATAAAATAAGGTTACATTTAGTTTATGTGCGGTACTGCTAGGTGTAGGTGGTGGTTATGTTTCACAGTGACTGTATTTGATTGACATAAAATGTAAACCAAGTCTTTTTCATGATGGGTGTTAGGAGTTTGCTTACCCCCTAGATCTAGTAGTAATTCTGGCTTAAACTGCACCAGACGTTGAAGCATGTGTTACTTTAAAGTCCACATGTCGTGGCGCATTTCCACTGATGCGATAATTACCATGTGTTGAACGGACGGATCATAAGCGTGGCCATTTCCACTGATCATAATTCCATTGTTGAGGTATACTAAAATAGAAAAATACTGTGCAATTTTCCAAACTCACATTGGTTTCGCATACAGCATCTCTGTAAAGTATGTGTATTCAGCAGTATTCACTTTCTCCACTAAACGGCTCACTAAACGGCTCACTGCAGCTCCCCCTCCCCCCGCCCCTCCGTGATTTCCTTGTTTAGCGATACACAGCCAAACACAGCCAAACTCAACCTGAACACACACAAAGTCACAGCCGAAATAAAAACAATAAGTGTGGCTTGATATTGACATGTGACCTTTAAAATGTTAAAAAAATCTTCCCGGGGGGGCATACCTCCGGACCCCCATAGAGGATGTGACGTCCACCCCCCATTCTATTGTGTATTCCTTGGATACTCTATTGATCTTTATCTTTTCTATTGTACAATTCTCTGGCTGGGGCGCCAACTCAAATCTCGCCTAGGGCTGCAAATTGCCTAGAGCCGGCCCTGACCAGAACGACTCAATGTGTGCAGTGTCAGGAGACAATCACACTGAATACCTCAGTCTTTAAATGTTACGTCTCTGTGATATTCAAGGAAATGTTTTGGTTTCATCAGAATTACTTTTCATTGTTGACATTTCATGCTATACATCTTCTTAAGGAAACTAGTCATCATTTGCCGCATTTTGCTTGAATGTGTAGGTGGACAAGTCCACTCCCTCCGCACTGTAGTAACCACAGCCCTAATTGCACGTGTCACAAGTGGATGGGGGTTTAGTGGTTTAAAGTGCTAAATATAGAACATCTAAAGGCGAAGAAAAGACACCCATCTCATTTAGAAGAAATGGTTCATTTTCTTCTCAAGGTCATACGCTACAGATTGACAATAATGTATGTGACTGCTGATAACAACTAAGATGGGTATTGCTTCACCTTTAGGCTTTCTTGCTCATGACTCCCAAGTCTGGACATAGTTGTACTTCTCGGATGTATAGAAGTCATCAGATGGATGTATACAATCTAAAAATGTTACTTTTAATTAGTGCTGCTGAATTAATCGTATTTTAATCGCAATTACAATTTTGTCTTGCAACGATTATGAAATCAACACAATCTAAATAAAACGATTATTTATTTTGTATTGGTTTTTCAGTTGAATTATACGTAAGGTTCAGGGTAATCAACTGTTAAAAACATAATGTTCCATTTTTTTTTCAATAAATGGATGTTTTGATATCAATTATTGACCCAAATAATCGCGATTATGATTTTTGCCATAATTGAGCACCCCTACTTTTAATACAATCAGACAAACAGTGGGGTCTGTATTTGAATTCATAATTGTTTTGAAAAGTTCTTACTGCCAAAGAAGCAATAAGTCCAGAACATCCGAAGGAGCCTTGATCATATCTAAGTCGTAGGCTAGTGACAATGAAAGTATCATTAAACATCAATTGTCCACTTTGAATAGAAGGTCATCTTCCCATGCAAACCACTAAAGCCACTGAAGAGATGCTCCAACATAACTTTACAATTCTCCATCAAATCCTCCCATTTACATGTTGTCTTATCAGGAATGCACCACTACAGACATGTGTGATGGCTGAAGTCTCATATGTTACTTCCACATTCACATGGGGTATATATATCTGTCAGGAGGGTCATCGCTGCCCAAATATATCTGCTGGTATTGTATTGTTTGTGTCACTGAGACTGTGCACTCACCACTCCATGACAATAAGCAGGCACTTCCTGGCCTGATAGAGGTTCTCGTAGACATCAATGATGCGCACGATATTGGCACAAGGTGACGCCCTCCAGTGGAGCTCCACTTCTCTGCGGGCCTTGGCACAATCCTGCAGCATCTGGACAGGGGACATGAAAGGAGGATGGTTAACTTCAAATATAAACAAAACACTTCAATTATAAAACACATTTTAGAAGTACAAAGTACTGTTTAATTGCCTATTTCCTTTACATATATGCACTGGTCAATGTGACAGAACTGGACACCAGGTCTCATTGTTTGGGTGTGAGGTGTAAATTATGTATTCTACTAAGTGACATGAAACCTATTGCGGACAAACAGGTTGCCATTACTGCTTCCCATCAGTAGGAAACATTAAAGAACATTAAATACCAGGTCCAGTGCTGCCATCATCTGGCAAAAATGTTTTAAAGAAGGTGTCGAGTTTTTCAAACTTTGTCTCGTGTGAATGTAGCACCCTCTTTGTGTGTCACTAGGTCATTGCACCACTTTAAACAGTTGTATCATTACACAGATATGTATCCATTTGTTAATGCTACATTAATACTGCCTTAAAGTGTCATTTTACTCTACTAGACACCCGATACCAGGAAGTCAAACATGAGCTTCAGTTGCAGAGAAGTATGTCTGAAACACTCTGATATTCAGCAAGGACACTCAGGAACCCTGGCCTTATGATTCCTACCATGATTCGAGCCTTATTGCCAGGTTGCATTCAGTATTGCAATGCATCAAACAACACTGCGGCAAAACAAAGTTACCCAGTATAACATTTTTATTAAAAAAAGGATCGGACATAGGATCATGTGTTATGACCTTGCCAGTTGTGAATCACGTAAAATGTAAATGCATGTAAAATGCTGCAGAGATGTCACAGGAAACTAGCCTTTCCCTTTAGAGTAGTAAAGAGATGCTGGGTCGAATATAGGCCTGAACTTCTGACCTATGAGATGCAGCCAAGCGCAAAGAGTAAATATAAGATCATTTAAAGTTTATGAGTAAATAAAAAAGAAGACCATATTGACTACACAGCTAAACAGAGTGTAATGTTAACTTTAACGTAGAAATGCATACATATGTTGAATGCAAAATCAAAGATGTGGTGTTAGATGGAAAGCAGGTCACACTTCTCAAATAAATAATTCAGGTTTAAAGAAACAGAGTCATAGTAGTATTTTCCCACGTTCTACTAGTACAAATACTTTGGATATAAGTTATGAATAAGTGATGTAGGAATGTCAAGTGCAAGTGATTGTTTATAGATGAATAATGAACAATAAAATACCACAAGTAAAAGCCTAAAATATCATTGCCAGTCATTGGACAAACCCAGCCTTGCAGCTTTGACAATGATGTGTTTCTGCTGTCTCACATTCCAGCGCTGCCCACGGTCACAACACGGCAGCGGGCCGCGGTCCAGAGGGCAGCGACTGCAGGGACAGCAGAGTGAAGCGTCTGCAAAAAGTACTGCCAGTATGAGCACATGCACATGAAAGGAGCCAGGTGACCGTGATGGAGGTGAATGTCTGGCTCTGCTGAAGTGACTGTTCTTCTGACAGGCAGCAAAAAAGCCATAAACATGTTCATGCGGTTGGTTTGAAAACATCCATGCAAGTGTCTGAAAACTATTTTTTTGTTTGCTGAAAAGGGAAACTGATACCGTGTCCAGCCTCTGCATGTGACTGTCTTCTTTTATACATAATGTTGGCAAGGGAAGGCAATAAATAATATATATAATATGTCACTTTTTGATTTTAAGATACTAATTAGGAGAAAAAAGAAACTCCCCAAGAAAGACAAGACAATGTTTAACAGACAAGTCATCAAAGATAACATGCCGTTTTTATACCTCTTATCTGAGTATTGCCACTGACGTCATTTTATATTTCAAACACAATAAGGCTTGTTTTATATACTTGCATCTTACAACAAGCATGTACGCTTGAGTGTTGGGTGACTGACCAATAAAAGATGATTATTTGTGTTACCTGGTAGAGTTGGTATAGCATAATGTTGTATTACTCCCTGCTTTATCTCAACAGTGAGCGCAGTTCAACCACCCTTTGGGACTGAACAAATAGAGGTGGGTCTGACTTTCTGCGTCACAGCAGAGTGAAACAACTCTCAATACGACACAAGGCCTTTTGGACACGATAACATTTGGCATAGGACAGAACAGACGCACTGTGCTCCTGCATACTTTCACCTTTCACCCATAACTTTAAAAAAAAAAAAAGACAAGCCACAAAAATAATGTGGTAAATATTAGGGCTGCACGATTTTGGGAAAAAAAATCTAATTGCAATTTTTCTGACAAATATTGCGATTTTTTTATTTTTTTATTTAAAAAATAAATAAAAAAAGTTTAAAAAATCATTTGATAATCGCATAATTTAAAATAGCGATTTCGATTTAAAATCGATTAATCGTTCAGCCCTAGTAAATATAACAATCCATTTATAAGCAAATAATATTGTTTTATTAAACAACAGCTCTTTCTGCATAATAATATGTTAAAGGTTTTCAAAAAGTTATATTACAGCACAAATAGCTTGATTAAGTCCCGTCCCGAAAAGAACATGACCAAAAATATAAAGTAATGTAAGACATTGAATGATTTCTCTTGTGGTATTATCAGAGTGCTACATGTTAAGGTCGAAGAAACCTCAATCACACAGACGTTAATAATTGATTGCCAAAACTGACAAATAGGTTGAAAATGAGCTACTCTTTTTATAAACCGAGCAGTTTTAGTAGTTTTCCCAAATATTGTTAAATCTGGAGTATCGCTGTTAAACCATTACACTGACCCACACTCAAGCACATGTATATATGAAATGGTTTGATTAGGAAAGGTTCAGTCATATGACCCAACATAAGGCATAATAGACGTCCATGACCATTGTTTCATTTTTGACCCAATTTGGAGGTAGGCCAAAGAGATCCATGTCAACTCTACTGTTGACATTGGGACAGATGGACATGTGATATCGGAGACACGTGTGTTGCCAGCAGCTTCTTTTCAACTGCCAGCCAGGAGCTTAGCCGGAAGGGCGTGAAGGTCAGGATATCCTCCCAGATCCCCCAAACATTCATTTGAGTCTGGCCTATTGGGGATGGATTTTTCTGTGGGTTGTTTTGTGATGAAGGGGTATTTTTTTGGAATAAGTTACATTCTAGAGAAGCAACATTAATGTTAGCAACAGAAAAGCCCCAATATTAACCGATTATCTCACCAGAAACCGGAATCTAAAATGTCAATAAAACCAATAACATTCGTGACGTCAAAATATTGATTGATGTTGGAAAGAATAAAGAACACAGATGTTATTCAGCGTCAGTCATCCCTCCTGCCCTCTCCTGATGTGAGTCACTGCCTGCAGGTAGCACTGCAGGCAGTGACTCACATCAATGACGACTGTCTCCACTTCACCTGGTTCACTTCTCTACTTCTGTGGGAAGCAGCCTGATAATAAATATAACATGGTTTCCTCTCGTTGCCATTTGTTTAGATAAATGTATTTACTCCATTTGAGGCAGTCTTTTTGCGATGCGTTTATGGCTGATGTTCATATTTAATTCCTCCCGTTATGAGACTCTTCAGAAAATGTTACCCCGCTGTCCAACTATTATTGGCCTGAGTCCTAACGGTCATGAGGAACTCAAAGATGCATATATGCATGTTCTGGAAACAAGAACCATGTGCTGAAACTAACATTAGCACATCTAAATATAGCAGACTTCCGTTCACAAACAAAGACTTCACACCGTCCCACATGCGCAATCTATACGCATACGAGATCACACCCCCGTCACCTCTCTGTGACAGCAAAGCCCCTCATCTGCTGTTGGCTTTTTGAGGGTAAACACTGAAGCTTGTGGAGAAAGAGGGAGATGAGGGGGCAGATGGGCACACAATACATTTCCTCCAGCCAACACAAAAGCTCCCCAGCCCAGGGCAGGACAGTGGGAGGCGGGATGGGTGTGAGCACCCATCCTCCACCTGCCGTCTACTCGTAAGCCAAGGAGAAGTTCAGGAATCATATGGTGCTATGAGAAAAATATACATGACATGTGGATGGGGCAGTGAAATGTGGAAAGATTATTGAGGGGTGACAGGCTAAGCTTGGCTCAATAGGAAAGCCTCTTAACCTGACAAAAAGGGTGAAAAAACAATACACCAGAATGTGTGTGTGTGTGTGTGTGTGTGTGTGTGTGTGTGTGTGTGTTGTTCATTGTGCGCTTAGTGAGGCAGCAAACATGTTTGTGTCAATGTGACATGCTCTGATTAAAGGCATCTGCTAGGCCTAACAAAACCATCTGATATACGCTTGTGGTGTGTGTGTGTGTGTGTGTGTGTGTGTGTGTGTGTGTGTGCGCACGCGCGCGCATACACACACTGGTATCATCTGTTTGGTGTGTCTGTGTGTGAAATGCATACAAACAACTGCACTCTTTCTTTGGACTAAAAAGGGGAAATATTCATGTTAGCATGTTCAAGTAATAAAGGTGTAAAACTGTAGGTGAAGGGAATTTAAAATTGTAAAACAGCAATCAATCTATAGACACAAGAGGACACAAAAAGCCTACATTTGCACAGGGCTGCACAAAGTAGGCGTGAACATCACCAATGCATTCAAACTAGTTTTACATTTTTCTACTTTACTGAAAAACTCCTGCTGTATAAAAGTATTGACTACTCACAGACTCTGTATTAAAAAAGCATAGACTCCACATAGTTTGTGCACACGACCCTAGTGAACCATAGATAATATCTCAGTACAAAAGTACATAGAGCTTCAAAACATTCCAGCTGTCAATCATGCCACTGACAAATATATTTCACAATCAGCATGGACACACCTTTAAAAAAGAAAAGGACTGCTCCATGTTTGAAGATCTCACCAGTCAGAATAAAAACACCAGTAGTGCGAGAAATAGAAACATCCAGCTCTCAAGACAGATAGCTAGCTTGTAGATTAGTACCTTTAGCCAGCAGGTGTCCTAGTACACAAAGCATTCATTAAGACATTGGGTGGCTGACCGGGGGAAAAGAAGTGAGAGAGTGCGACATTGGTACGACAGACCGAAACAGCT